AAGTGCATATGTAGTACTTAAAAAAACCTTTCATGAAGGAACAGTTGCATAGAAACAAAATTTTCCAAGGGAACATTTCCATGCAATCAAATGTAATAACATACAATGGAAATAGACCTTAGCATGACAGCAGGCCTGCTAAGCAAATTAATATTCTGAGCATTAATTTCATGCCCTATGGCTGTAAAATTTCATGCAGGTGCATAGTTGTTTATTTAAATCTTTTCCTAATCATAATAAAGTCTTGAAAAGATATTTTAGTTGAGGAGGAGAGGGATTTAGTGGTGGCTTATTAAAATAAATAAAGATCTATTTATCTTTCAAAGTACTGATTTGGGTGAAGAATTAAAACTCATAACCAAAAGAAAAACAGCAGGTGGGAACCTGGAGTTTGGAAATGCTAACTGCTGGTACCACTGTCCTGGTATGTTGATCAGGATATCAGTTTCACAAGACAAGTATTGAGAAGTTTATTCATAGCTCGGGCAGAACTATTAATAGAGACACGTCCCCTCTCTGTACCTCTGCACTTCTTAAAGAGTTGCTGCTTTGCTGCAGGGAACAAGGGCAATATTACCCCTGCAGCAGCACACTGTCACTGTGGAGAGCATGACACAGCCTCACCAGGGTCTTGTGTGACAAAATAGAGAAAGGGGTTGACTTATCTTGCATTTAGAGAGGTATGAAACCAGTCTATCCTCTACTCTCATCATTCCTTGAAAATATTGTGGGGAATAGGAAGGGGTCTGTGGTACTTCCCTTGTTTACTTGGGTTCATCTTCTGCCTCCTCTGACTCAATAGCTCATGCACTCTCCAGAATTTTTGTTTGAACGATGGGCAGAGCAGCCACCTGCTGAAGAGAGAGCAGAATTGGCTCATTTACTTAGTCTGTGCTGCCATCTGAATACAACTAGTAGCTCTATGAGGTTCAGATGCAGCTAGGTCCTTATTCAGAAGAGATAAAAGGAAGATAGTATTCCAGCTAAGATTTTGACTGTTGGCTGAAGCACATGAGATGGAAAGAAACCAAAGGGTCTGGGGATTGTGGCAATGAATATTCAATAGGATTTGGGCGTGCCCTCAATGCCTTCATTGTAAGTTCTTCTAAACCCTCTCGTTCACTTTCATGTCTGTTCTTAGAAATGAAAGTCATGTTAAATTGAAGAGTCCTCTAAGAATTAGGTGTGCTTTATATTTGTTCCTCTACAGGACTTGGTCAGCCAGCCTAATCTATTTGTAACTGGTAGAGGAAATATCAGAGGAAAGAATTTAGGCTTCATAGCTAATGTTTAAACCATCTGCAGGGATACTTCAAGTACACTTCCTCGTGCTATCACCAAAGGCAATTTTTTTTTTAAAAAGGGCATCTTAATGTTCAGCTATTACAAGATTTAATATTTGTTTTAGCAGTCTCTGGGGTTTTATTATATTTAATAAGGCCTTAAAGCTATTGGGACATTTTCATACAGGCTAATTTTCCCTCCAACTTCCTGCCACTCATTTCTCCTTCAAGGAGTCACATAATCTAGCTTAGAATCTTACAGTGATTTGGTGTATATGAATCATTGGAAAAATTGTGTTCCTTCAGTACATAAAGTTATTCAAAGTGAAGAGACACATCCTAGACACAAAATCATTTTTGGCTAAAGTTGTTGCATCTATAACAAATCTAGATGGTGGTGGGAGAATAAAGGAGGAGTATTAACCTCTAATGAGAGCTTTTTATCTTCACAAAAAAAGTGACAAAAAAGTCTCTTCACGATAAAAAAATACGTGAAAGCATCTTTTATACATTTTACTCATGCAGACAGGGGCAAACTGTTGTATGGTCCTTAGGTGGTGTTTATAGGAAGAATTACACCATTAGGGATATAGTGCGGTTTGGTTTTGTTTGTTTTTTTTTTCCTTAATGTGAGAGAAACTGGCTGGGAAGGGAGTGAATTTTGGAAAGGAAAAGTAATGAGCTTGCTTGAGGTGGGGACAGAAGTGAAGTAAACAGCTACAGCAATCAGGATAGGCTGGTGTTATTCCAGCCTGATGTGAAAGGATGACTAAGTACATGCATTGTGGACTCTTTGAGCATGATATCTCAAGGCTTGTCTCAAGGCACTCTTAGTTCATAGGAAAGAAAGCTTTTTCTCTAAACCAGCTCTCTGTCATAAGCATGAATGTCTGATGCAAATTGAATAAGCTTTGCTGCCTAGGGAAAATTTGAAACTTCAGTGCATTTGGTTTTGTAGCTAAAATGCAGTGGCAATGTAATTGTTGAAATCACCACAGGTTAATGGATATGAATCCAGTCACTCTGTTGTTCCTGAACTTGCTTATGTCCATCTTCAGTCAAACAGTTCATAAGTCTAATTAACTCACTTACCTCGTTAAGTGAAACCAAGTCCTCAAAACAGAAAACTACAACTAGGAATTGGATCCCTTGTTTTGTCAAACTAAACTTTCCCAGTAACTGGTTTATCAAAAGGAGTTTTATGTTCAGGGATTGGAAGGAATTGACTCCAGGGCTAAATATCTCAGAAATTTAGTTACACTTGATAGTTCTGGTCATTTATTTTAAATAGTACACTACCCTTCATAATGATTAGGTTTTATAATTTGCAACAGATTTGTATGAACTATGTAAAGTTTGTTATGGCCTTTGGCTACAGCAAAAGAGAAAAATTCCTGCTATTTTAGATTGTGGATTGTTAGGAAATAAATGAGTTTGATAGCTTCTCTCCAGCTGAAGCAGGGAAACTTTTCTAACATGAGGTTGGTTCCAAGCTGCAATCTGAAAACAGATGAATCTCTTCTTACACCTAATAGTTAAATCTCCAAATGAGCTGGTTTTATAGCTAAAAATCAGTGTATTACAAACTGTTGAGTAAATGTATGCTAAACTGTACTGTAACCTGATCATTGGAGATCCTTACAATTGGAGCTTCTATCATGCTCTGCTGCATTAGTAGCAGATACCAAGCATATGATTCTTCTCCTTTTGTGTTTACTATGTTCTGTTCATATTCGCAGTGATGACATTGTAGAGCTCAGACCAGCTTTGTGTTGTGTGAATCTTGAGGATTTCTCTATCATAACTGAATGAAAGATTACTGCTGTATTGTTCTTATTGAGAAGAAATTTAAGGACTGCTTTTCAACTTCTTGCTGAGTCAATGCTTTTCAAGTTACATAAGAAAGATTGTTCTATTTCCACAAGAATGGGAAAGTGTCCATATATAGTATGTATCATTTGTGCTGTGATACATACATATATGCCATAGTACATACTGTGTATGCCACAATTCCTGACTGTACTGGAGCTATTTGAATGGTACACTTTGGAAGTCTGTGAGTTCCAAAATTTTTGGGCTCCTCATCTGCTTGCATTAAACAATTTACTGGGTTTCTGGCTTTGTCAGCAGTGCTTTAATTGCTCTTGACTAAGTAACCTCCTTCTCAGGTGATAACATTTGCATGCACTGTGCAGCAGTTTGAAAGGGCATATCTGTACACCCAAGAAGATATTCACTTGTTTAATAAGCAACTAATGAAAGATTCTGCTAGCCTTGTTAAATAGCACACAGTGGCCAAAAGTTGTATGAGTCTCGACTGCAAGTGTTGTTTCTTTGAAAAAGTTATAAGTGTTTGTCTGGAAAAAGAATGTGAATTTCACTATGTAAGAGTAGTACAATTGGAGGTTTTATATCTGGAATTAAAAATTTAGAATTTTTTTTAACCTGTCAAATTACAAATATATTGACCAGTTTCTCTGCAAATATTCTAAGACATTTCAAGAGGCCAGAAAATTACTTCTACTGTCAATTATTTGATTTTATTTTAATCTAAGTTTCTATGATAATTTAACAATGAAAAAATTAATATTTCACAAAGTACTAGTATATAAAAACAAAGACACTGAAAGTAATTGTACAGCAAATGGATAATAGATTCTATTAAAAATCTTATACAGTAAGTGAAATTTAGTTTTCTTGTTAAAGCTATTTTTTGATGTTGTGTGAATTGTTATCCTGCATAAGTAGTTTATATATTTGTGAACTGTGCTGAAAATAGAGTGATAATATACATTTAGAGGTAATTAAGAAAAATTGCTTGAAAACAATATGCCTATTTATAAACACGGAACAAATCCTTTTGTAATGGAACACATGTAATAATATGTTACAATGCTACAAAATCATACAGTTATCGTCACAGGGTAGTACCTCAAGTGAATGCTGCAATAAAATAAATTACCTGCTCAATTAAGTCTTTCTGAGCTCTCTGGAATGAGGCTATGCAGTACTGTGCCCAATGTACACGATTTAGAACAGGCTAGGTTGTCACTGTGTAATTCCAGTCATGTTGTTATGTTCAGTGCAACTGTGAAGGTGAGTAAGGTAAAGGCAATTCAACACAAGTTCTGAAAAAAAAACCTGCTTTATTCAGCAGAGATGTCTTTTACTAGAAAAGCAGCAAAAGGTGACCAAATAAATCACCCATATCAATGCATCCTTTTTACTGTCCATATTCATTTAGTTTGGTTGATTATGCATTCAAATCAGTGAAGCTTGTGTTTTTTGGATCCTGTGCACTGCATTGAAAATTCACCTCTGCATATCTGTGTGTTTATGATCTTTAGTTATTCATCGATGATTGAACACATTTGACATTTTGAAGTTGCTCTGTATCTCATTATTTCATCTTTTTTTCTTCAAAATATACTGAAAATTCAGGTTTGCTTTGAAAGCTCAAGTGAAATTATTTTGAATGAAATAACAAATGCTTATTTAAAAGAACCAATTGGATTTCAGACTGGTTACTGTAATTTATAATTCCTCCTTCCTCTTCTTCTTTCTCATCCTTTTTGTCCTCCTTTCCAAGCATCTTCTCCCCATCCCTGAGTAATACTGGTGCTATGTACAGTATTTTGTTTACAGTAGTATAAACATTCTCAGCCTGTGACTTCATTGCTGAAATAACTCACCTCTTTCATATCAACTCTTACCTAGGAGCCGTACAGCAGACTCATTGATGTAGGTTTTTTTCTGCATGGCAGCCCAGGCCAAGCTGGTTTCATTGCATGATGCAACTTCACCTTTTTTGGTTGTCTATGGGATTAATTATAATCTATTCTTGTATTGCCTGTGCATGCCAATGTGTTTACATAATGATGTATACACTGAATGCAGTCTAGAGCATTAAGTGCATGAAATGGAATTAAAAACACAACCATAACATTAGAAAGTTTGGGCAAAAGTGAATTATGCTTATCACTAACTTTAGTTAAGCTATTATAGCATGAATAGGACATAATATGTATCAGGTCTATGTATTTAAAATTTCCAGCATATTACAGTAGTTTATTGACTAGAGTGACAATTTTGGTGTGGTCAAGATGTGAGGAGGAAAGGATGTACTAACTACCCTGTTGTGACAAGGACTGAGTGGTGCCAGTAGTATCAGAAACACAAACCTTTCCCTGCTGTCAACTTCAGCAGCAGGTGACAGTGAAAAGAGGTAAGATTGTAAATAATAATTTCTTGAAATTCAGAATTTAGGATACGTTTTAACTTCAATAGGTTTTTGGGTTTTTAAATGATAAATAACCTGCAAAATAATTTAAAAATTATTGATTTACGAAACACATGGTGATATTCCATATGAAGAGTTGTAACCCTACTTGAAATTTCCTTTACAAATGACATTGTGACAATTCTAACCAACCTGTTATTCATATGTTCTTAAATGTATTCAAATGAACCTTTTATCAGCACGGTATAAGATATGATTGAATTTTTATCCTATTCTTTCCTGATAAAATGATGAAACAGCAGTCTGGGAAGTGACTTGAAACGTTGTGTCTGAGCACAATTTTTCTAGTGCTGTTGATCAGTACAAATGTTTAGTCTATGCTTGGAAGTTACAATTTGTGCACTCTTTGGTGTCAGAATTAATGCACAGATTGCAAATTAATATTTTTCTTGATGAATAGGTTGTATAAGTTTAACTTTGAGGGCCTATAATATAGAATGTTATGATATTTGAGAAATGGTCATATAGAAAAAAGGTATATATAAAGTGAAAATATGGTCTTAGTGTGTATATTTAGGCAGGTAACTTAATGAATACATACAATATATTTAAAGTAGTACAAAAGAGAAGTAATTTCTACAGCTGTTGTCATGCCACCCACATGCTGATACTATGCTTCCCTAAGAATGGGTGCTATTCAGGATTACCTAGGATTTAATTTTTTATATTATTCTTGGAATCCATATATAATGGCAGGGTTTTATTTTCCCCATTACAATGAAGGAAAGTTCTGTTAGTACTCTAAACCGGGTCTGGTATGTTATCTGCAGAGTAACATGAAATTCTTTCTGCTCTCAGTACAAATGGGATTATTTTACCAGTCCTTTTGACTTCCCAGTAGCTCAGTGTGTAAGTTCAGCTACACACCTGTTCTCTTGTGCACAGCAGCCAGGATACAAAGGTGGTGGATGTTACAGTGCAAGCCATTTTGAGAGATGGTAGGAAAAAAAGGCCACTATATATTAATTTTTAGCTCTACTATAATCCTCTTCTTATATTGATGTAAAGTACTTTTATATGAGGATTCTAATAATTGATTTTGCAACTGCTACAGCTGTAGGCAGTTTCTTATTCCATTTGTTAATGGAGATAAAGTTACTGCTGTAAAAGAAAGGCATAGTGTCATTAATCTGCCTAAAAGCAGCCTTGTCTTTCCCATTTAGAAAAACCACTGGGTGAGACTGTCACTCAGGCTTCAGGCTAATTTTTTCTGAAAGTTTTAAGTATTTTCTTAATTTTTTCTTTGTTTAAACTTCTATTATTTTGCAAAGTAAGTGTGGCTATTCAGTGAGTCTTTCATAGCGTCAGCATTTTGCCTTAAGAATATGGTAATTGCACTTAAGCCAGTGGTGGTAAATAATCAGGTCTCACAGCTGCAACAGCAGTGACACAAGCTTTTCTCAGAAGGAAAATTTACTAGATTGCAGTTATGTAGATGTGGAAATTAAACCACAGCAGAGGAGTTTACGGGTAGAGAAATGTATAATGCGTTTCACTGGTTAAAGGTACATGCAATTAAGACTCTTCAGGGGTCTAGGTTACAAAAAAAAAAGGAAACTGGTAGAAGGCATTTTCATGACTGTTAATGTATGCTAGGAGTGAATGTGGCCTTGATTGTGCCCAGAGCTGGTTCAAGGCAGAGGAATTTAAACAGCTCTACTGTAATGCTCAGGATATAATCAAAGCCATCATGAATGGTTACTCTTGGTAGTTGCAAGGTTCTTTACTTCAAGTCATCTGTTTAGTTTTGCTAGGAAAGTGTAACAAGTACACAAATACAGGCTTCCTTGTGGCAGGTTACAGGGATATACTACACATCTCATAGTTTGGAAGGGGAGCAGCTGATCTGCATGACCTGGGGTACCCTAAATGCACCTTAGGGGTTAATTGAGAAAGGGTCTTCAATAAACCTTTAGACTGATGGGGTAGGTAAGGCTAAGGGGTCCTCAAGAGGAACAAGAGGGAGAGTCTGAAATTATGAAAATTTGTTTGAGACTAAAATATCTTTCAATTTTGTGTATATTTTTGGAAGGAATTTACATGGCTCATGTTATGCCTTCATTTGAAATAGGAAAAAATATATCATGTCTGGTGTAACTGTGTATTAGGGCTGCTTTTGAATTACTATTAACACAATGTGACTAGGTTTTATTGGGTTACTAATAGACTTGGGTCATGCTGTTAGATAGCCTGACCAAAGAAGCTGATCGAGGAATGTAATGTCAATTTTCTAGCACTTTGCAATACTTCTGACTTACATTGCTCATTTACATTATTCACTGTTGTTAAAGCCAAATAAGATACTTTAGGCTGAAGTTTATTTCTACTCAGTAAAACTAGAGAGTAGCCAGATATTTTTCATCACTAAATCACAGGAGGGAATTCTAGAAATGACAGACAGATGAATGAACTGTAAGTATTTTACACTCCAGTTTTTCTGGTACTCTTGTCATTTTCAGTTAAAATGGTTGAAATAAGACTAAATTTCATAGGACAACAGTATTTTTTTTATAAGTTACAGTATGTAAGCTAGCAAGAAATGTATGGAAAGTACATTGAAAATCATCTGCAGGAATCAGTTATGCATATAAAACAGAAAATTAGAGGTCTGTTCTTTGCTAATATACAAAATAAAAAATATTAATTTCTAATCAAAGAGTATAGATGGAGAACATTCTAATTTTGGTCATTGTATATATTTTTTGAAATAATTCAGTCAGATGAGGGAGAATTTTAAAAGTTGGATGACAGTATCTAGAGAATAATCAAAGGCACTGAGATGGAGGAGTAGTTGGAGCTGGAAATGCATGATGATGGTGGGCTGTTGAAAACTGAGTGAGGAAAGTGGACAGCAAATGTGAAAAGAACTGTTAGGTAGCTTTAAGAGATGGCAGCTGCAAACAAATAAAACAAGGAATCTCAGGAATTCCTTCCTGCTGCAAGGTAAGAGTAGCTATAGATAAATTTATTCAAACAGGCACTTATCTAAGAGTTCTGTGGTTTGTAGGCCCTCTCCCAAAAAAAGAGGAAATTTAAGAAATATCTTATATATAGATCATTCCACTGATTAATGCAAATGCAAGGACTGTAAGTGCTCCATATTAGCCAGGCTGACAAGCATTTACTGTTTTAAAATTCAGAGATTCACCATCTCTCCAAAGAATCTACGCCAGTGTTTATCTGTATTTTATAAATGAAAAGGTTTTATGCTGCTGATATACTTTTCACTAACCTTATTAATTTCCATTTGTCAGTTCAATGTCAACATGGAAAGAGTAGTAGTATTCATATACTTGCTAGTATGTCACCAATTTTCTCTTTTCTGGGGCAAGCAGCTACAACTTACTACTCCTAGATAGACTACTTACTGATAAAAACTATTAGGTAACAATGAGACAAGAAGTAATAGAACGATATTATGTAGAAGATAAATTATTAAGATTGTCAACTTTAGTAAATGAGGTATGCAGTTCAACCAAGTCCTTTCATAATCAGTATAAGAGATAAAACTGAAGTGGCTTATTAAGATTTGTCCAAAAAGTAAGGTTACTTGAAACAGTATACTCCTATTTTTTTCTTTGGGATGCTAGTAGTCTCACACAAAATCCTTTTTATTAAAATTAAATCATTTTTATTTAATTAAAAATGTGATCCCAGGCATTGTTGTGCTGTCATTTTCCTAGAATTGATTTGTCATCAGGGAGATTGTTTTGTCAAGGTAATGTCATGCTATTTTTAGCTGCCAGTGTTCTTGATGAGCAATTAAGGAATGTAAAGCAAAATAAAATAGTAAGCTCTTTCTACTTATCTATGTGGTTCTTAGCAAAAGTTTTCAAATTAAGTTATCTTAGGATGAGAATCTTACTGGTGTATTTTGCAGGAAAGCCCCTGCTCTGTCTTTTATACACTACTGAAAGAAGTCAGAAGTTACGGAGAAGGATTCTAGGCCATTCACTTAAGCTGTTATAACATTGAGCTCCTGGGTGTTTCTCTGTTCTTCAGGGACCTTCCTTTCACTTCTGTTTGAAAAATTAGAAAGGACACATACTGCAGACAGTAGTGAATAGCCACACATCCTGAGGAAACTATTATGCCATTTTCAGAGTGAGCAATTTTAATGCATTTTTTCTGTATATCCCAATAATTCAATATAAAATGTTAAGCAATTTTTTTTTTGTCATCACACATAATTTTTTGTTTGGGTTGAGGAAATTAGCTCAGCTCAATTTGATTTTGCTTGAGTGCTGTAGAACATTGGCTTGTGTTTTACTGGGGAGTCTGTGAAGAAGCATGATTAAGGGCAAACTTGAAAAAGAGAGATTGAAACTGATAGCATTATGCTGAACTTTACAAATTTTATTAATTCATTTAGGTAAAATAATTATTGTCAATGTTATTTGACTGTCACTTGGTGTGTTGCCAATTGCAAATAGCTCTGTAA